AGCTCGCCCTGGAGGGGTTGTCTATCATCGCGGTGCTGGTCAGTGAAGCGACTTGGGTGGTGATCGGATCTTGGTGTGACTGATCGGCAAATCAAGCTTGTGGAGTATGAAGGTCTCTGATCCTGGCGGATCTCGTTGACCTGACAGTGCGCCGCTTTAAGCATAGCGGCGACCTTGGCGACCTTTGGTGTCTGTGGGAGCCGGGAGAGCTCTTTGGCGGCCATTGCCAGATTAGCGCTTGGAGTCTTGTAGACGTTGTGGCCATCAACACGGACAAACTCATCGTCGAGGTTGCATTGGAGTGGCCTTCCTTGCGAGTCAAGCTGAGCCTTCCGCCATTGCAAGGGCAGCCTCGTTTGCTCGGCGTTGCACACAGTTGATGTTCCTGTTGACGCGAGCGGCGCGGTCCTCCTCGGTTTTCCCTTCCCGTGGGGGCTGTCGACGCTGACATTAAAGATGGCGTCCCCATGGAAAGGTGGGAGAGGAAGTAGTTCGGTGGTGGTTTTGGCGACGGTCTCCATAGAGCCCTAGGACTCGGAGTCCGGATTTTCCTCCAGGATGGTTTGGAGGGATGCTCTGGGGCGTCGGCCGACGTGCAGCATGTTGACGGCCAGCGGAGGCTGGTCGGCGAGAGGATGGACGTCTCCAACCTGGTCGGCAAATTTGCCTCTTAGGGCATCTTGGTAGGTGGCAGCGACATTGGTGAGCCCCGAAGGGTAGGGCCGTAACCCCTAGAGTTTCCTGAGCAGCCTCCGATAGATCTGGATCGGAGGGTGGTCGGCGCTGAACGAGAGTGTCCAGAGCCGATTCGGTGATGGAGAGGCAATCGGCGAGCTTCTGACCAACCTGATCGATGGATGCGATTAGATCATTGTTGTTGATCTACCTCCTCTGGTAGCGAGGAAGTGGGCGGCGAGTTGTCGATGAAGGCGACCTCGGAGGCGGTTCTAAGATCGGATCTGCAGTCACAGGTGTTGGGGTGATCGGCGCAGAATCGATCTGCACCAGCTCGATGAGCTCTCTGACTCTGTCAGCGTTGATGATCCACAAGATCAATCTGACCGTAAAGATCTGGCTGGGCTGCGGGAGGGACGAAGAGCCTGCGGAACGTACCATCTTGTTCGATATAGAAACAACACGCACACCCCTACCTAGCGCGCCAACTGTTGACAGAATATCGTCGGTAGTCCTCCGAGGGGTATCCCACGAAGGTAGATTGATCGACAGAGAGGCGTGTAATCGAGAACAAGAAGGCAACAGAGACACACGAGTTACACATGTTTAGGCCATCAGTATGACGTAATACCCTACTCCTGTGGTCTGTTGGATTGTATTGGCTATCGTATGATATTGCGTGTGTTTGGAGGGGTCCCTGCCCGCCTTATATAGTCCGGGGGGCAGAGTTACAAGTCGGTTAGATCTGAAAGATAACCGGAAAGTAATAACAGATTATAGGAATCATGGGATCATACGTATCCTAACAGATCTCGTAATATCTTCAGGATATCTTCTCGGTGTCTTGCGAGAGGCACCGAGCAATGTCGTGCCCCGCAAGGCTTCATCTTGTGGACTAGGCCGCCCCTGGGGGCGCAGCCCATGTGGTCTACCGTGGGTATCCAGGGTTGTACCCCCCACATGCATCATAAGCTTTCTTCATCACTAGTGCTTTTGCTCTCTTTAGCTTGGACATCGAAACATTGGCAAACATTTCTTCTTGCACTGTCTGCAACATATGTCCAAGTTTTCGGCATGGGTTGGCAAAAATAAACTTCTCATATTTGTTAGCAATTCTAGCTGAGGTGACAAGTTTGTTGTCTCTTCTAGGTGGGCACATGTGATTATTGGTAAGTGCACAGATTTGCCAACTATCAGACCTAGAAGTATTTGACAACAAACATACCCATGGGCAACCTTTCCAGTCACATACGGCCCTCACCCTCTTTGAATCATCCTTAGGAAATCTAATGACCTTTCTCTCTTCCAAGCCATGTCTAATTGCAGCCTTCTTGAATTGTTTCTTTGAACTAAACTTCATTCCCAACTTAAACTTGACAACCGGCTTGTTCTTGTTAAATCTTGGATAAATGTTACCTTGCCCTACACCTACTAACTCATCCACAGACTCTACATCACTACTGTCTGCATATGGAGTGCAGTTGCCATCCTCCTCACCTTCCTGCCTAGTTTGGGGCCTAGATGTAATACCCTCATATATCACATCATCTAAGCTTGATGCCTCACCCCTCTTCAACTTCTTCTTGAAATCCTTAAATTTTCTACATATCTGGGCTGCTTCATCATCATCACCTGAACTGCATGAGTCTCTAGGCATGTACTCACTGTCAGTGTCAGACTTCTCATCTCCATTTGGCTCACTTGCTCTCCCTGTCTCTCTAGGACTACTGTAAAATTGTCTAACAAGGGCAACTTGCTTGTCTATTTCTTTACTTTCACTTTTCCTTACAACCAAAGGTGGCAGATCCTCATCTATGTCATCATCCTCTGAATTATCTTCCATCTCTTTCTCATAGCCACTACCTTCATCTATTGCATCCTGCTCACGTACAGGAACTATCTCATGCTTTTCAACATACACGTCTGCAACACCACCTTCACCGATGCAATTAGACATGTACTGGCACACCTAGTCATCAACCAAAGCTCTTAGGCCTGTCCTCATATCTCTCCGAGGAAATAGCCAATGCAACATTGTGCCTTCTTTGACATCACAATGGTCACGGAGATGACCAAGAACTTCAGGGAGTGACAACTTGTCTCGGTCAACATAAGACATAGCTTGAGTACATCCAACATAAAATAGATCATTGCTATTCCTCAAGAACTCCCCATTAAAATGAAACAGCACAAGGAGGACGTCAAAAAATTCCATTGCCAACCACTTGAAGCCTACATGCAAAACATACATGCTATGAGGTACTACTTATAAGATATGTTCAATAAATAACATCGGTGCTTAAAATATGACTATAAGTGCAACATAAAGCTCCGTGCTGGCCTTAAAATATGACGAACATTCAAAAGCACAAAGGTCGGATGTACCAATTACAAGTTAAAGTACACTAGCTCCAAGAGAATCAACCATCCCGAAACAAAAACAACTAAAATGTACAGGGATCCATGTGCCTCAGTACTTACCTTGGTCACCACGCGGAGTCGATCTAACCCAGTGTTAGATGAATCCAAATCGACAACCAATACGTCGTCGCGCAAGGCTTTGCCTCGACGTGGCGTCCAAAGCTGTAGCCTTACTCCGTCGCGCGAGCCTCTGCTTCGACGACCGCCGCCTCGGCAACCAGTGTCGCGGCGTCCGCCGTCGTGCCGCCCGAGCTAGGGTTCCGATTTGGGGGAATCGATTTCTTTTTTTAATGGACAACCAAAGCTTGGTCACAGGTCAGCTGTCTTCAATTTAGCCTTGGGTTGATTCAATCAGCATGGGCCCACTGCAAAAACCAGAGTGGAGGTCACGTGCACGGATTTGGATAGATGAGGGACCGTCTGTGCCTAGTTTTCTAGTTGAGGAACGAAAAACGGACTTTGCCAAAAGTTGAGGCACGGATAGTGGACTTTTCCCCCCACGGCCTATCGAGCTTTTCACTAGACAAAAGCCCAAAAACAATGCTGACTGGTGACGAACGAATAGAATGGACCCGCTTTGACGGACAGAATCCTGTCTAAGGCCATGTTTAGTTGCCTGAATTTGGCGCCGCAAAAACACCGTAGCACACTGTAGCTGTACTGTAGCATTTCGTTTGTATTTGGTGATAATTATTCAATCGTTGACTAATTAGGCTCAAAATGTTCGTCTCGCAGAGTACAACCAAACTGTGCAATTAGTTTTTTATTTTGTCAATATTTAGTACTCCATGCATGTACCGTAAATTTGATGTAACGAGAAATCTTCTTTTTACATAGTGCGAAAGTTGGAAATTTGAGGTGAACTAAACATGGCCTAATTGGCGTGAGGCGTTTTGTATGTTTGAATTGATTGATTGACAGAATCCATGAAACGCACAATTTCGCGCTGAGCAGTTTTCGCCATGTTTAGTTTCAAAAAAATTTCCCAAAAAGTGTTACAGTATCCATCACATCGAATCTTGCGATACGTGCATAGATCATTAAATGTAGACGAAAAAAAAAACTAATTACACGGTTTGGTTGGAAATTACGAGACGAACGTTTTGAGTCTAATTAGTCTATGATTAAACACTAATTGTCAAATAAAAACGAAAGTGCTACAGTGGCCCAAATTCCAAACTTTCCTCAACTAAAACACGCGCGAAACTGGGAATGCCCCTGCCGGGGTCTTTGTTGCCGAAAAAATGCAGAGAGCAGAGTGCGCCACCGCAGCGCCGGTGTGCACTGTCGACTTGCCGGTTGGGTGGCTGGTTGGTCAAAAAGATCGACGGTCAGACAGGTCTCTTTTACAGTCTTTTCAAGTAGCGGAGGCCCGAGCAATCCAAGAAAGGGCTTGGAAAAGGAGGCCGGAAAAAGAGAGGAGCGCCGCTGCCATGAAGGCTGTCACGGGGACCGTGCGTGGGTGGGAGTGGGAGCGGGAGCAGTTGCTGCTGCAACGGTCCCTTTGCTGGCCGCTGGCCGGTGCCTTGCTTGCTGCAATGGCTTTGCCGCCCCCGACCCACCAGCTCACTCAATTCAGTCTTCGAGCTTGCCTGCCCATCTCCCCAAACATCCGCGGCGCTTCCTAGGCATGATAAAAACTTGGATCGACAAATCGATTACAGTGAGCTCTTCCAAGAAACGTACAACGAGATCGCAGCTTCCACGGCCTTCTTTTCCAAATCCCAGATACAGAGAGAGTTCCCGTGGTTTTTGAAGAGGGCAGTTCGCGTGGTTCCTTGTTTCTACCCTCCCCGGGCTCCGTTTCTTTCCCTCCATTGCAGATCAGACCTCGACGAAGCTGGCTGGCTCTGAACTCTGCACTGCACACAGAGGATACGGGTAACTGAGAGGGCACTGTCGCGATGGGGAAGAAGCGAGCGGCGGCCGTGAGTGCCACTGCTGTCCCGTTGCCCGGGCCCGCCGCCGCCGAGCCAGAGCCGGACCACTTCAACGACTACGGCTTCGACCCGCAGCTCCTCCACTTCTTCTCCCAGGTCCATCCATCTCTACACATCCACATCTTGCAAAAGGAATAGAGATTCACGCCTGCTGGTGCTGGTTCTTGCATTTTGTGTTGACGTGCGGTCTGGTTCCTCTGTCCCGCAGCTTGAGGTGAAGCGGCTGTGGGGTAGGCGCCAGCGCCACCACCAGCACCAGCCTGCGCAGTCCAAGCCCCTGGAGTCCGCGCGGTTCAAGCTCCAGAAGCCCATCTCCAAGAAGCACCACCACCGCCCACAGAAGCAGCAGCGCCGCCGGTGGTGGAGCTCCGCCGCTTCCGCCGCGCTCCATCTCTTCAAGAAGCGCCCCTCCTCCACCAGACCCGCACCCGCCGCAGCTCCAACTCCCCCGTACGGGTCGGCCGCGTCGACCACCGTGCCTCTGTACCTCGCCGACTACGATGCTGCAGGCGGGGACGACGACGACGGCGCGGCCGCGTGCACGTGCTGGGCGCCGGCCGTGCGGTCCGGCAGCCGCCTCGCCGCCGCCGAGCTCGGCGCCGCGGCAGTGGCGGTTCCCTACGTCAGCCTCAGGTCCACTAGCCTCGCAGGCGGTGGTGGCGCTGAAGGCGCTCCGGTGATGCCCATCTACCTCGTGACGTGACCTGAAGGTGAAGCTAGCTACACCTGGCTTGGTTGCCGCAACGGCCGACGCGAATCCTTCGGCCTTCCTTTGCCGGGTTTCTTCTTCAGAAGCTTGGACCAAATGTCAGTAAATTACTGTATTATGTATTCAGGTCTGGTTTAGATCGTAAATTTTTGCAATCTGGACACTGTAGCATGTTTCGTTTTTATTTGACAAACTTTATCCGATCATGGACTAACTAGGCTCAAAAAATTCGTCTCGTGATTTACAATCAAACTGTGTAATTAGTTACTTTTTTATCTACATTTAATGCTCTATACATATATTCAAAAATTAATATGATAAAGAGAGTGAAAAAACTCAATCTAAACAAGGCCTCAGAGAGCGCGTGGACTAGTTGGTCAAACGGTCAAATATCAGCTGCTTCTAGAATGGTTCCTTCCTCGTTTTCTTCTTCCGTCTGTGGGAGTATTTTGCAGTTGCAACTGCTGCGTTTTTCTTTCAAATTCGTTGCTTCGAGAAGGTTGTTGGCTCCTAATTAAAAAGTCTAAAGTTTTGGCTTGTTCAGTTTTGTGTTGAACTTTTAGGTTAAGAGGTGATAGATTATGGTCTGAGAGGAGACAGAGAGAGAGAGAAGATTCACTTGCTTTTGTCCTAAAAATCACGCCGACCAAATTGGAACACGTTCTCTTTAGATTTTTTATATTGCACTTCTCCTCAGGCTAATTGGAGTTTGACTATTATTCTTACGATTATCCATATAAGCAAGCAAGTCATGGTTTAGAATACACCGTTAGAACTTGTTTGATAAGTGCTTTTATAAATTTTTACCAACATAGACAAGTTATTTTTTTCCTTATATAGTGAAACTTGGTTCGATCTATTGTAAATTGTTAATTTTGAAATTATACTCTTTTCTTCTAAAAGTATAACAACTCATGGTATTCACATTTTATATATCCACGGATATTAGGATTTCTAAGAACCGAAACAAGAGCTAGCCAACTTTAGAGCAAGCCTAGTCATTAGTTTCACCATTTGGCGGCTGCCTTTTTGAGGGGAATGAAATGTTCTTCACCTATAGAAGTCATTATGGGCATGTTCGCTTGTCTGAATTTTGGAGGAATTTGGATGGTTTGGAGGAATGCTGGAGGAATTTGTGAGAGAAAAGCACTGTTCCGAATAAAAAAATAAGCGGATCAAGCTGGGTTTAAGGGCACGCGAACAGAACCTATGTATCTAGTACGGAGGGAGTTAGTGGATTGTAGCTCCTAAATATCTATTCAATGTTTCATCAGATTTATTAAAAGGCTTGTGTATTTATGCATTGCTTATGGGTTTGATTGGTTGCCAGGACAACCTCTTATAAAACCCTGTAGTGTAATTTGCTCATGTTTGGTTGCTTTCGTAAACCTATATGCAAGCACTCTCAAAAAAAAAAGGTTACGGTTGCATCCTAGAATCAGTGATTTTCTCTACATCTAGGTACGCAGTATGCGCTTACACCTGATGTGCACGACGTCTCGACGTCACATCCCTCTATGCAATCTCCTACCAATAGGGTCATTCCCCCTAGGCCAAGATAAACACAACAACCGTAGGACACACTACCTCCATGAGGAAAGAATAGAATTCTAGCATAAAAATGTTGTTCTAAAAAGAACACAACTCTAACTTAGGACTCGTTATTATAGGCTTTAGGTTTGGTAATACTAAAATGGAGTGTCATATAGATGCATGATAGCAATAATGTATAAAGTTCTTGGATGCAATCGTTTGCCTTGGTCCCATCAACACAAGGGGAGAACAAAAAAGAGTAGAGATACATGTGTCTTTTTAATTGTTCACTAATTTGTCGTTGAAATAAGAGAGAGATGGCGTGTCACAAGGCACACTCACCTAAGGATTCAACTGCCACCCCTATCTCTGCTAGTGCGTATAAACAAGATTAAGGTGTTGTTTGGTTCAGACGGTGGGTGTGGCAACGACAATGTAATCAGTTGTCGACGCTAGTTGTTATAGTTAGGGATGAAAACGGTCGGAAAACCTCTCAACTGTTTTCTACATCTACGAAAATGAAAGTGAAAGCGGTAAAGTCGGACACGAAAACGAAAAAACTTACGAAATATCGAGAATTTTTAAAACGAACTAATTCGAGCAGAATGATGTTGGATACGGTCGGTATACGAAAAAACAATAGGAATATTGACCCGTAGGACCAAGTGCATAACAAGCATGATCAAGTGAATAACAATTAACAAGTCCTAAACTTTGATAAAAAGTATCTCCATTTGATACCATATAAGAAAGATATGATTTTTCTAAGACAACAAGCGCGTGTTCGTGATTAATATACGGTTGAAACTTTGTTTAGTTTTTTTTGAACATCTTAAAGACCTTAAATGAAAAAACTAAAAACTAGAAAGTTGTAGATCTCATCGAGAGCTATAATTTTCATAAAAAAATCATCTTCATCTGATATCTAATGAAAAAGATACAATTTTTCTAAAAGTGGACTTTTAGTGGGCCAAATTCAGTTTAAACCGAATTTCAAATTCAGGATATTTCGAAATGAAAGTAGAAAACGGTTGGAAAACGTCTAAACCGTTTTTGTGTCGATTTCGAATTCAGTGTTCCTTATTTCTAACCGAATTCAAATTTGTCCAAAAATACGAATTTGATCGGATGAAATGTAGAAAACGATGCGATTTAGTACTGGATATTTCCGTACCGTTCCCGTACCGTTTTCATCCCTAGTTATAGTAGAACTATAAATATTTTTGTTTGGTTCATGATGTGAATGCTACTTGTTCTTCTTCTCGACCTTGGAGAAAGAGGACAACTTCTTCATCTTGGCTGGCGTTGGGGCGAAGGCCTAGGTGAGCTTGGTCTTCGGGGTCATGGCCAGGGTCGCGATGAGCATCTTGGACACAGGCGTAGGGGCAGCCTTTGGCGCCTCGACACTCGGTAGTGGGAGTCACCGCGGGGAGCCTCAGGCTTGACCGGTGCAGCTGCAGGAGTCGTGCGTGGGGTAGCAGAAACATGGTGGCAGGGGACGAAGGAGAGGCGAGCCGAGGACACGGGGTGCGAGTGCGATGTGCGAGGACAATGGGGGTGGCGATGCTGATTTTTGCTACCATGTGACGGGGTTCCACTCGGAGGGGAGGGATAATGGAATTGTATTGGGCCAGATATGTTCATGCTACTATTGGTTCATTCAAGCACAAAGCAATGTGACCCATTCACACCGTGAATCGATGACGAGTTGAAAACGTGAAACCGAACAACCTCTAAGGCCCCCTTTGGATCCTAGAAAAATTTTCGGCTCTGTTCGCCTGCCATTATAAGTCGGCTTCAGCTATGATATAATATTTTTCTCTCCTAACAAATCAGCACAAACGGCTTATAAACCAGCCGAACAGAGCCTTTGTTTTCTTTGTTTTTCATATGAAAATGTAGGGGCATAAATTGTAAGACTGTCTCCAGCGGGAGACGCATCCCGCGACGCATACCCAAAATGCCTAGTTCATGTGAAAGAAATGGCCTCCAATAGAGTAGGCGAAGAGAAGACCCAGTTTGGGTCGGAGGTGAGAGGGAACTCAAAAATGCATATGTCTCTCTCCTCGACCCAAATCGACGACAGGAGGAGAAAGCTCGTCGTCGGACGCGGCTCTTGCTCCGAGGAGGATCACCGGCAAGAAGCACGCGCGGACCACCTCGCGATGGCGAGACCTGTCGGCGCGCGGCTCGATCCGGCAAGAAACACGGGACTGCTGGAGCGGTGCAGAACCAGAACGGAGGGAGAGAGAGATTGACGCACAGCGAGGAAGGAAACGAGCACGAGCTCGAAGCGCCGGTCTGCTCTGGTCTTCACGGTGGCCTGATTGGCGCACTAGACCAGCACGGCAACCACGGCTGCTCGGCCAGAGCGCTCGGCTCTGGCCCTGCGGCTCGCCCTCAAGCACGCGAGCGCCCCTGCAGGAAGAGCAGCAAACACAGCTCGCACAATCAGGAACGCGACGAACACGCAAGAAAAAGTGCGGCCTAGAGATCGACGAAAACCGAGCCAAATCAAAGCGATTCTCTCCCAAAATTTGCACAGATCTAATTCACCACGCTACGAACCTAATCCCAAAAAATCATCACACGGATTGACCCAAACTTTAGGAAATCCAGATCGTAGCTAAGCTCAAAAATGGGGAAAAAACTGCAGAACACAGAGAACGAAAATCACACCAAAATATGAACTTGAGCTTGCGCTGGCGCCGGTCGGAGGCCGAGGAGCCGGCGGTGCCACCATCGTCGCCGGAGTCGGAGCTGGACGGCTTGCGGCTCCATCAGGCAGAGGCGAGCGCGGCGCTCGGCCTCGGGCGGAGCTGCAGAGCAGGGGCGGCGGCGGCGGTGTGGAGCAGAGCAGAGATGGGGAGAGAGAGAGGAGAATGGAGGTGGACCAAAGATGGGCGGAGCTGCAGAGCAAGGCGGCGGCAGCGGCGCATGCAGGAGCCTTTGGGTTAGCTGTTGGAGAAGAGAAGATTTGGGTGAATAACCTTTTTTCTGTGCCAGACGCAAAACATAAAATGGGTTTTATGTTGGGGTCTGGACCGCTGGAGACAGTCTAACAATGGAGGTGCTTCCACGGAAATTTCCGACGAACCCGGTGCCACAGGCCGCCCCACCATCTCTCCGGAGTCAAACTGTCCCAAGCTATAGAAACTTCCACTTTGTCTTCCGACTGCCTTCCCTTCCATTCCATCTGGCGTTTCGACACGTCCAATCCAAATAGAAAGAAAAAAAAACTCGGGCAATTCCGCCGGCCATTAGATCGATCCCGTCCCAGCTGTTCTTCCTCCCCGAAGCATCCATCATCCATGAACCTGGAGCGCCTACCGCCGCCGGCGGGATTGCGCCACGGTCACCACCGCTACGCGCGGATGCCGCCGCAGGCGGACCTCGAGGGCGAAGCGGCGCCTACGGACCAGGAGCGGGAGCTCGAGCGGCGGCCGGAGGTCCTGGCGGCC